GGAGCGTTTCTGCAAAATTCCTTAATTGAGAGATTGTATTTAAGGCGAATCCAAACACGCATTCTTGAGCTGTTCGGGATGGAACAGAAGGCTCGTACTGTGCTGGGATCACGTTCTGTTATTATCTGCCGTACGGTCTAAAGCCTTAAGGACCTCTGTGCATTTGTTCTGAACATATCTAATTGGGAGAATAAATAGAAGAACAGTAGTTTCCCAGAATTACTGATTATTGAGCCATCCTTACTTAATCATTTGATCGTGCAAGATGTCTCATCTGTATGTCACAATATTAGCTCAAAAGCTTTCCAACCGCAAGAATTTCCTCCCTAAAATTGTAGCCAAAGTATTTTTACAATTATTTAGTTGTATTGTCTACAATTTTATTAGTACTGAGAGGCGTTCTGCATACTATAAACATTTTAAGCGCTTCAATTCTTTATTTTCATTGTACATTTCAAACTCATACCCTGATTGTATATACTTTTTGTATATTTGCTTTCTTCCCTTACGTAAATAGGATCTGACACCGAATCTCTAGCTAATTATACGATCTCATAATTGATATCGAAATCGCAGAGGATTTGATGTCTACTGTCACCTATGTACTCATTCCATTGTTATTTATATTCATGCCTCTCTAATGTTCATAAATTTCTTTCAATTTCAACTTAGTAATGTCCTTTATACTTCTCTCAATTAAAAAAAATAGTTTTGTTTTTGGAAAAGTTTGGGAGAAAACGAAAATGTTCTGAGTTCTTTGTACAATCATGTATAATAGAAAGAATGAGTGTGGTGATTGCACTAATATATATGTTCACCTGATTTATGTATTTGCTATAAAAATTTGCATATAGCATCTAGTCTACAGATTATTGTGAAAATCTGCAAAAAACGCTTCAACCCTAGCTGCCATGCAAAATATTGGGGTGAGTCACATGTTATAAAAATTCTTGCACCTGTTGACTATATTTTAATTTTTCTTAAACACATATGTCTAAGGAACTTTTATTTCTTCCAGAGAGGTTTACTTGCTTTATATTTTGGTCACACTCTTTTCTGATGAGCAATCAGTAAGCTTTTGCCCTTTCTTCAAAATAGTAAAAAGCCTTTAATGAAGATAATTCTACGAAGCTTTTGAATACGGAAAGCAAGTAATATAGGAGATCTAAATATTTGAGAGTGATCTACCTACTGTTATCTAATGGACCAAACTTATGGGTTTAATAGAAAATTCGAAATGATTTGTGAAAGTCGATTAAGCTAAAATATAATTGATGTAGGAAGGTGTCAGAAACTTTGAAGTAATTTCAAATATACATAGTGTAATCGCTGCTATACTCTATCCTCAGTATTATAAGAATCTTAGGATATTATGCTTGCAAGCCTAAATTTGATCAAAGGGCGAAACTGCTGCTTAGTGAAGACAATGGTGCGCCTTATTTATAAATATATGTGCATGTTCATTGCTTGAAAAATTGAAATTATAAAAAGTTAATTTTCTACACCATACTCTTACAGCTTTAAGCTTCTAGATTATTCTTTGCCCTGGTCAACAGCTTGTTTTCTAGGCTGGTCACATTCATCAACCGCAGCACAATCGAGACTGAAGCTTAAACATAATTTTAATTAGATTTTTCATACTATTAGAAATTCAAGATTTTTCGCTGAAAAAAAAATTGAATAAAA